CAGTAATTCTCTAAAGCTTCCAGTACCTTATCGGGCTTATGTTTATCTTTCCTTTTTCCCCCATGATGTTATCAGAAACTTCTAACACTTGAAGGCCCGCAAAATTTAAAATGATTACGGATAGTACCTTTCCATCCCTCGCGGATGCACCAGCAGCGGCTAAGTAGACCTCCATTTGGCGCTTCCATCGCTTTTAATTCTCGGATATGTTTCCCAAATTCACCTCTAACGGGGGTAGAATTCTGAACTGTCCGGAGTCTGACGTCGCCATTTGCTTAACTGAATCCCACCGCTGCCACCATGTTGATTTACTTCGAAAAACGGGAGATCAGAATGGCGACGAGTGAGCGCCGAAAAATAATTTAATAAACAATGGTCGTCATCTTACACCGAGCATATGGTAGAACTAAGGCCGCAAAGTGTCACGTTTGATTACGTACATGTAGGCGTGCAATGCGGGCGTACTCGTAATCTCGCTAATATATCAACAATATTATTATTTGAATTGCATTAAATACTCTTGTTCAAGCCTTCATTAATGCATGGTGTTTTTTACCAATTCTCATACCCAAAGTAAACATTGATATAAGGAATTGGTCACAAGATATGTTAGTTTTAAAGGGTGGGAAACTGGAAAAGCAAAGATCCCTCTTTAATTAGGACTAAAATTGAAGTGGGCTCTGCTATATTAATTCATGTTTTTACTTTGACCTGCTTAAAACCTAAATTATTTGGCATCCGCATAATGCACAAAACAAGAATATAAATGACTCAGCTTAATAGGTAATAAAGATAACGTAAGAAAGTTGTGCAGACTATATCTTGCCTTTTATCCTTCTCTGGATATTTATTCAAATAACAAAGTCGCTGCCAGTCCCTCTCACTCTCACTTTCCACTGAGCTTGCGGAAAGATAATAACCTCGGAATTCTTTTAAACGAAGAAAAGAAATCCTGCCTTCTTACCTTTTGTGCATCATCGGTACATACCTAGTTTTATTTGTACATGAAGTTGATTGTTCTAGGTAGGCTAACCTAATAAATAAAGTGTGAAAATTTCTTTGTTTGACTCAATTTTACCTGACAAACCTAAACTGAATAAATAGAAATTTGAAGTTTATTTCTTTTGCTTTTGAGGTGTATATCAAAGTTTTGAAGTCATGGCGGGCTTGAACTACAGGTTTATAAGAAATCTACATGTGTGTGTTTTCAACATATAAGACCGGTAAAAAAGTCGCTTAGCTTTTTTCATTAGTACACATTTCTTTTTCTAAGAATCTTGTTTATTTGGACTATGCTGAGTTCTAATTTTTTTAAACAAATTTTACATTCTTTTGGATATTCTTAGACCTTCTAGTATCAGTTAATATTCATGTAATTAAAATAATTACATCGAATCTTGCAGATGTTTGGTACATTTTTCCACTGATCTTATTGACAATTCATCATGAGTAGAGATTGGTATTGGCCATAAAAGTATAGTTAATTAAATATTTGTGCACAGCCCATGCATCAAATATTTTAAATAAAATATTGTATCCTTCTTAAAACTAGTTTATCAAAATGAGATAGTTTCCATGTTTGAAAAAAGTCACTACCTACTAAAATCCTCAGTTCCTTTACCTTGACAGCCTAACCTCATCAAAACATTGGCAGCAAGAGTGATTGGCAAATTAACAATATAGACAAGAGAGCCTACTCCAACATACACCCTCCTAAATCCTTTTTGCTTACTATGGACATGACATTTCATGGTGTATGTTTCCCTGTCTAATTACTTTGTTATGGTGTTTACAAATTGTGGAAAATGGTTGGGTTGAAATATAGTACAACAACTTGCCAGTAGATAGTCAAATGAAAGCTTTTTAAATATCGGTAAAATATATTGTTGTGTTTCATGTTAGCATGTTGCAGTAACTCTACCCTCCAGTAAATTCAACTATTTACAAACATGAGAAAACACTATCAAAAACTTTTCAACCCATTTAATATAGCCAATAACGACATCAACTCAACTTTAAAAGTAAAGAGAAAACTTGCTTGATGTTTGGAATTGATTGCTGTGATGTAAAATGAAATCCAAGTATCATCTCAAGTTTTCCACAAATGTCTTCATGATTGAATCCTAAGTCTCTCTTCGCCATTAAGTTTTAATCATGACATTTAAGCTCTAGCCTGTCCTCTTTTGAAGAAAACTTTTGCAGCGCAAGAAACATGTTAGACAAATTTCGTACTTTTTCGTACTACAATCGCTCTGACGAAGGGCTAACGCTCGAAACGTCAGCTTTTTTACCCTTTACGGTGGCTAATTTACGTTTTCAACCCAGTTGTTAACACCAAATTACCTGCTTCATTAGCTAGAATTGCTAAGATCATGGCCAGTTGGCTTAAAGAAAGCTACATTACAAGTAGTTACACCAGAGGTTACCGAATCAAATAACAGAAAGAATCTCAAAAAGACGCCGTGTATTTCCAGCCAGAGGACAATCATAAAACAATAATAGCCAAAAGAGGAAAAGTTTTAAGAAATTACAGGTTTAAACACAAACTGAAAATGACTTTTCATTGAGGTTGAAACGTTAGGGAAAAAGTGGCGGGGCAAGCAACCATACCTGGCAATTTCAAGAGAAGATGTAAGAGAAGCCCATACGATTTTGGCGTCTTGATTTACCAATTCACCGTTATCACGTGGATACTCTTCAATCGACCGGTGATGTCTACACTCGAAGTAATTTACCATCACTTCTTTCAATTATGGCTCATTTTCCCAAACCAAAATTATCAGTCACGCTCAAAAGAATATAATTTCAACTGATGCTGACATCGCACATTTCCTCTGAAGAAGAAAAAATTCTCTATCTTCGAAAATTTGCTCAAAATATTAGGAACTACAACAAATGTCCTCAGCTGCTCGAAGATACCGCTGTCTAGCATGCGTTTTATCGCAAGCTGTGAGAACGTCGTCCTCAGGTTCCAGACCTCGCCAATTCTTCCCTTCCCTTCCCACCCCCCGGACTGGTCTCTTAATCCCCTTGAAGAAACCCTTCTAAAGCCAGTGCTGAAGAGTTTTATTACAGTTTTATTATAATGAGGGGTTAGAAAATAAACTAACAAGAGCTCCGCTTTTAGGCCTGGCTAAATCTGTATATTAGTGTAGTTTGATCATCCGGGTGAGTGTAGTCCTGAGAAGGACTGTTGTCGGTAGTGGTGACTGACGATTCGACAACCTGAGCGGAAGTCATCATCAGAGTCAAGTGAATGGTTGTTGTCAATCGAATGTACTTAGTCCGGTTTGTATAAACTGATGGGTCAGTTTGCCTTGATGTTACTGGCTGCTAGACTCAAGTGGCGTAGATCAGTCATGATTGGTCAGTTTCGATCTGTTAGTGAAGTTAGCTCGTTGTGTTCAATTCGTTTGTGATGTTAATGTCGTGAATGGGTCGTTTGTATGGTGCCGGTAGTGGTTGACACCTGTTGAGGGGAATCTGTTCCAAGTTAGTAAACCAGCTTTCCAAGGTCAGTCGTTGAAAGTAGTTGGTGCTGTAGGTTAGGCATTGCGTAGAGTCCCAGTCAATAGTGTGGTTCGTAAGTCGGTGATGTTCTGCAATGAGATTGTTGACATCGCCTTTCCTCCTCACTCGTTTGTGTTCCGTAAGTCCAGTTGTGAGGTTTCTGCCAGTCTCACTGATGTAGAAGGCGTGGCATTCGGAACAATTGATCTTATATACTGCTCCCTGTCCGTTCCTCGGTTCATCTTTGTCTTTGACGTTAGTCAGTGACTGACGTTGTGTGGTAATAGGTTTGTGAGCGACGCGGATATTGAAGGATTGTAGGACGCGGGAGATGTTCTCAGATATGCCCTTTATGTATGGTATAGTTGCTGTGGTCGTAGGAGTTGCGTTGTCGTTAGCTTCGGTAGTAGTAGTAGTTGGTGAGTGTTGCATGGCAATGGCCGGCTAGAAAAAATTTAGCGCTCTATACTTGACGTGTATGACTAAATAAGATCATAATAACTACATAGCTTACCTGAATATGGATTTATCGGCTTCCGCAAATTAATCAAACCTCTGAATAAGCACAAAGATGAATTGTCATTATGAATACACTCTCTTCTCACATGACTTTCTGTTATATTCAGGTGCTTATTTTGGCCTAATACACGAGCATGATCATTAAATAGATGGTGTTAAAGACGCTGTTGAGTATTGTGTGACGTCACGTTTGTTTGTTTTACCCTTAGAATCACGTGCATACATAATTGAACTTTGGTCTCACGATTGTTCCGTTGTTCAAGATCTTCATACGAAGACGAAATATATGTATCCGGTGCCATCTCCTTTATTAATTACATCGAGAATACTACACGAGCGCGTGTAGATATGGAATTTCTCTTCGAGTTTAATTCAACTCGATAGCTCACGAGTTAGCAACCATGTATTATTTTCTTTTATCATATAAACACAATAGCCCTTTACTGACAAGAAAAGTCGACTTTATTAATAAACGAAAATGAGAGGATCGACAATCCGAATAAAAATTGCAAAGGGCGTTGGCGCACTCAAGATGAAAACAAGCGTTGAATCAGGAGGGTCTGGATGGGGTTTAGTGTCAAGTGTTATTTGGCCGTTTTTTTTAATGTTTAGTGTTAAAATGGGTAAAATTTTAATGTTAAGCGTTTAAAAAAAGTTTAGTGTTAAGTGTTAAAAGGTATTAGAACAGCGATTTCACTCAATAAAGGTCAATAAAAGTTTTACAGTGAAAGCAATAATATTAGAAAAAAGGACTAAGATTTGTTCAAACTTAGCTCTTATGATAAAGGCGTGCAAACTAGAAACAAAAGGAGAAGAGTCTGCGCAGAACTAACCGAACTGGTCAGCATGCATACTTTGTACTCATGCGCATAAGTTCTGTAGACATTCTGTGGTCAGCGGTTTTTCAGCAGACTTCTGCATGCAAAATGGCCGCCTCGTCCGCATCGGCGGGAATTGCGGAAGTATTGATCAGCTTTTATAGATGTGGCGAGGAAGATGCTTTTGAGAGACATCGCAGTAGAATTCCAATCTGTATAGACCAAAGAAATCTAACGGACGCCAGGAAGCATATGATCAACTTTCTTGGTATTTCGCAAATGGCTACGTCGCTGGGTATGGGAAATTTCGAGCTGAAACTGTACCGGCTGGCCAGGAGTGCTCACGGGAAAACGAAGAATTTACGTATCCTTACGCAACAACAGTGGGAGATGGAAGTGTGCCACTCCTTGTTTCTGACGAAACCCAAAGTGAACTCAATAGTAAGTAGACAACTGATCTGTCGAATTCATAAAGTGCAGGAAAAAGTTTTGAACTAATGATAAATATAACCACAACATATGTATTAGAAAATTGGGGGTTACAAATTATCCTTATTCGATCTTAGAAAAGGATAATTACTTTGAAGGTTATAAGTATGAAATACTAAAGTAAAATTTCCTCTTTTTCATCTTTTTTAAGTACATGTGGTACAGAAAATAATTAATTGGTCAGACAAGAAAATGGTGCTTGTACCGGGTGTGAAGCAAACTCCTGAAGAACCTCTTGGTACTTCAACAAGTTCTTCAGAAGATAAAGATCCAGAAATTGCCATCATAGACAATGAACCTGGAGCATCAGATTCTGCGAGAAATAGAAGTAGGAAAAGAAGACAAGAATGTCTGGAAGATAAAGAACTAGTTCAAAATATTTTACGAGACAATAAAGTTGTGAGAAATGTGCGTCAGAGGCATGAATTAGATGAGCTTCAAGCAGGTAAATTTTAATGAAATAGGTGGTTTTTGAATTTCTACTTTTACTTGTACTTTTACCTTTACTTATGTGTTTACTTTTATCTCGCTTAGACTTAGGGAAGCTTGCTGGAAGCTCAGCTCTTAATGAGGTGAAATTTACTTGTGGAATCTGCAAGAAACCGTATTTTATCAGTACTAAGTCCAGCAGAACCACCCAAGGGAAGGTCAATTACTTCAAAATCAGTAAGTTTAAACAAATATTTTTAATTTACCAATATCATTACTGCAGATCACATGTTTCAGTACTCAGAATAAAAAAAAAAATAATAATTCCGAGTGTATTTAGGTGATAGTAACTCTGGTCTTTTGTATTCAGCTGATCTTCTAAAAGACTAATGAATGTTTATAATTAAGTTGAACTTCCCTTATCATTTTTTCAATAATCCCCATGGTGGAGAAATGTAAACCTAGGAATACACTGTTCACCTTTGCTAAAAATTTGTCCTTTGTAGCACATTTCAATAAGTGCCAAAGAAATTACGAGAAAGCACAGCGTTTAGTGAAAAACAACCACACCCTGGACAGCCTTTGGAAAAAAGGAAATTGTGAACGACTTTCTTCAGCATCAAGCAGCAATTCCATGTCACAAGATGAGCAGGAGGACTTTACTGGTGCTGATGCCATAGAAACAGGCTCTGACAAGTAAAACCTTACTGAAGAATATATTGTTGTATAAAAGAACTTTTTTTTGGATGAAAATCTAGATTATTATAGAACTCATGCATAGACATGTCATTACCATGTACCAATAGATAATATTTGTTGTACACACAAAGATTGTTTAGCTTTTTCCTTAGATCTCAAAACCAATGTCTTTGACCAGCATTTGTAGTACTGCTGATAGAGTCTTAATGCATAGTTTTTGTTGATATTTTGAACTTAATGAAATAAAGCAGTTTATGTTTTTCAAATTGATGTTTGCACGTGTGTTTCATGTGTAAGAAGAAAATCATATTTTGCCAAAATATAATTGCATGGCAGTTAGCAAATAGTGGAACTACTAAAAACAATTGTCATTTGTATCATGATACCAAAAATCCATTACAAAGCTTAATATCTGGAGCATTCTCCATTGCTTGTAGTGTCCCAATGTTATATATGTTCTTCTTTGTTCCCCTTTTGAAATTCCTGATACTGGCTGATACTGTGAACACAATGAACAATGACCAGAAATGAATCTATATGTTGCGAAAACTATAATACATGTATGTGATAATTTCCTTATACAGTGATAGTGTTTACCTAAACGAAGATTTGGAAGAATCCGCAGACTTGTCTCAAAGCCATGATGAGACTGTCAGTTCATGTATTGAATCATGGGATGAAGAAACACATTGTGCTTTTGATGAAGCTGGCTATGTTGACCAGAAAGATTCAACACAGGATCCGGAGGGTCATGTGATAAGCGATGCGAACGTGGATGATGACTTGACATGTTTTAACTTGTGAGTGTTTATGTAACTAGAAAGATGGAGGACAGATGGTCCATTTGTGTTTGATCTTGTAGTTTCTATTGGCTCCAACTCTAAGCTTGCGAGTTTTGTTGAGGTTGCTTACGTAATGGGGAAATGTTGTTGCACTATAATTTATGAGAATTGACAAATTGTTAGCATTGGTCTGTGTGTGGTCTTTGCGCATTTAGACGTTTGTGTACGTTTATTCTTCTAGGTGTGTGGAGAATGCCCATCCAGTTGCTATTAAACTCAACCAACTTCTTGAGAAAGGAAAGATCCCGGAAGACTGTCTCTACTACAAATTTATTGACAACACTACATCTTTCGCTCTAGTTGATCCTAAGTCTGCTTCAGATTTCACATGGGACCGAGATGTGTGCGAGTTTTTTGACACTATCAAGTATCTCGGAGGTAGAGACTTGGAGACAAACCGTAAAGAAGGAAAGGGGGAGTTTAGATTCAAGGCTTGCTTGCTGCTAATACATGTGCTAAGAAACAAGAGGATGGCTAGTGAGGATGCAACAGCCTTTTCCCGGTAGGTAAAAGGAGCATGATGATGATTAAATAAACAAATTGTTCAAATGAAAGTTTGCGAAAGTGTGATAACGACAGAGGAAAATTTTAATTGTTAAGCATAATGTACCCTTCTGCAGAGAAATAGTCTCCAATGATTTTCCATGATAGAGACATAAACAATGAACAACACAAAATTGCAATCAAAATGACACAGTATGTAAATCAATTGTAGCTGATTCCATATTGAATGCCCGCGTTTATCGTTATCAGTATCTGGCGCATTTTTTAGCCGTTTCTCGTTACATTTGTATCAATTTTAGTGTTTCAGAGAATTTTTTAGTGTTAGATGTTAAACAGCCCAAAATTTTAATGTTTGATGTTATAGAAGGTAAAATTTTAGTGTTTAGTGTTTTCGAGATACCCCCATCCAGACCCTCAATCAGTACAAAAGCAAACAATGGGTCTAATATTCAATATACACAATTCTCGGTTATTGACTTGGTCCTTACCGGCAGAAGAAATCTTTCAGGTACACGGCCAAAATTGGCCTGTGGCAAATTTTTCAGTTGTTGATTTTCGTTTTCAGCCACGAGAAATGCCATTACCAAAGCCATTGAATACGTAACTTTCGGTTTTTCTTTTCATATTTTGGTTTTCTTTTCCTTCTAGCAAAAGTTGAATGTCAATGTCTCTAAGCGATACGGAATTTTCACTGTTTTAGCAGCCATAATCTGAAAAAATTCTGACAATCGACCATAGATTGAGAATCATTAGAGGCTTTGCCATTCATTCATCAACCTGACCGATTGGTGCAAAAAGCGAGTGACATGTCAGCAGCTGATTGGTGATATCAAACACACGTAAAAAGATTTCATATTTTTTTCGCATGTGTTGTTGGCTGGAAATCCTTGTGTAACACCGTAGTTTTTATGATAAAGTCCTTTAAAACTTTGACATGTTAGTCGTTGATTTTGGTAACCAACATTAGGTCTTTCGAACTGGAGAAATCGTTCTCCTGACGTGGAAATTCCTGGAAAGTTGATATTTAGCCGCATGCTGAACATACACGCACACACTCAAAAAGTTCAAAAGGTTGGAGAATCTTGAGAAACAAAAAAAAATAAACGGGCGTTTAAATTACGTCCCGCGAAATATTTGAACGACTCAGCCGTCGAATCGTCCCTGGAAGCGCTGAAGAAATGAAAAGTTCTGGAAGGATTGAAAGACATCGGAAAGCGGCGGAATGAATTGTTTCAATCAGAGGAGCATCTCTAAAAGTTGTATATAGAAAACGACGAATTCGGATTCCTAAATTTTTGGGCGACAAGATGAAATATCTGACTTGGTGGGCTTTTTAAGTTGCGTTGATGAAACTGCTTCGTCACCGCATTTTAAAATGCTACAGCTGGAAAGTTACATGGAGGGCGAGGCCGAAATTACGGTGAAAGGATCACGCAATTCAGAGGCGGCTTCCGAACCAACAAAGGCGAGATTAAATTGAAAAGACGGAGAAAATAAGCGACGGATTCAGAGATTGACGGGTATAAGGGGCATCACCACCGTGTACTTCACCAGAAGAAAAGTTCGCCAGATGTCATGGAAAACTCTGACGTACCTCATGTCCATGAGAATGAGTCCAGTACGTATGAAAATGTAAAAGAACATGAGCAGCGAAGAAATTCCCTCTGCACCGTTCCGGTTATCCTGAGACATGAGGTCAAGCGTTTGCACTTCAATTACTTTTAGATGAAGGAAGTGATACGACTAACGTCAATGAAGATGTGGTGGAAGAATTAGGTATACATATGTAGGCTCTGAAAGAAAAGTGACCATTAAAGTTGCAAATGGTCAATAGAGTAGATCTTATGTCAACTACCATGAAGATTGGATTAGAGAGTTCAGACGGTCAAGTGGACACTATTATTGTTGCAAAGATATCACAAAATAAAATATATTAAAGTTCACACGGCAACCAGGTGGACAATCAGACATAGTTTGACGCTGCTCTGGTTTGCAGATTTAATGAATGTAACCGAAGAAGTTACGATTCATAGACCCAACGTTTCGACACTCCTCTCTAGTGCCTTCATCAGGGATGATCTAAACGCTGCAACAGGGGGTCCTTTTATATGATCACTAATTAGCGGCCCTTTTTCTGACGAGGTATAAATAGGCGTCAGGAAGCAAACCGCCATCGTCACGATTTAAAGGAGCGTGGGCGGAGTTAATATGCCAAGCCTCCAAACAAAGGCGCTGATGGTAACGCCGATTAGTGGTGATAATTTTAGAATTATCCCACCCAATTGTATGGTTGGTTAGGCATGTATGCTCCGATAAAGCTGAATTTTCTTTTTTGCAAAGAAAAACCGCTTTTTGGTGCTCTTTTAACCGTGTACCAAACTGACGTTTGGTCTGTCCGATGTATTCGTTGTCACAGTCATTGCAAGGAATAGAATAAATGGCGTCGGTTCGTTGTTTTTTCGTGACAGGATCCTTAGGTTTGGCCAAAATATGCCCCAAAGTCTGAAAAGGTTTTTGAGCAACTTTAACGTTGTGGCCATTCAAAATTCTCTTCATGGGTTCCGTAACACCCTGTATGTAAGGAATAACAGCAAAACCAGTCACTGGTTCCCTTTCATCAAGAGCGTTACTATTTGTAACTGGTTTTTGGCAGTTACGGAGAAAAGTTTTTGTATAGCCATTTGCCTTTAGGACATTGGCAACATATTTCCTCTCCTCAGCCTTCGAATCGAGTGAAGATGTTAGACATTCAGCCCTCCTAAGTAAAGTTTTGGCTACAGACTTTTTATGGCAAATAGGGTGGTGAGAATCGAAAGCGAGGTATTTGTCGGTGTGGGTAGGTTTACGGTATACACTTGTCTCTAAATTACCCTGAACCCCTCTGGACACATTTAAATCAAGAAAGGGCAAATGTCTATCCTTTTCACGCTCAAGGGTGAATTGGATCGACGGCTCTACTGAATTCAAATGCGACAAGAGGCGCTCCGCTTCATTTCCTGATACCGCAGAAATAACATCATCGACATATCGTTTCCAGAAAAAGGGGTTTAACCGGTGAAGTGGCTAAGGCCCTTTGTTCCACGTCTTCCATTACCATGTTAGCAATGACAGCAGAGACGGGCGAACCCATTGCTGTACCAAAAACTTGTTGATGGTAGGTGCCGTTATATGCAAATTGCGTGGTTTTGAGGCAAAAAGACAGCAGATGAATAATATCCTCCACAGGCAAAGAAGTTCTTTGTCCCATGGAAGCATCTTCTCTGAGTCTTTCCTCCGCAACCTTAACGGCAAGATCAACTGGGATTTTGGTGAAGAGCGAAACAACGTCGAAAGATACTAATTCTTCACAAGCGTTAAGAGTTTTATCTCTTATGAAATCGGCAAATTCGCAGGAATTTTTGACAGTGTAATCAGTATTCCCAGCAACAGGCGACAAAATTCTCGCAAGATAACCAGAAATTGCATAAGTCGGAGAATTAACAAAAGAGACAATGGGTCTCAATGTATTCCCGGTTTATGAATTTTAGGTAAGCCATAAAAGCACTCAAAGAAAGTTGAACAAAATGTTGCTTGATTTGAAAAAAGCTGGTAGAATTAGTGACTCTACGTACAAAATGTTATACAGTAGTGACGGCTTATGTCCACGTTTTTAACGCTCTTGATGAAAGGGAACCAGTGACTGGTTTTGCTGTTATTCCTTACATACAGGGTGTTACAGAACCCATTAAGAGAATTTTGAATAGCCACAACGTTAAAGTTACTCAGAAACCTTTTCAGACTTTGGGGTATATTTTCGCCAAACCTAAGGATCCTGTCACGAAAGAACAACGAACCGACGCCATTTATTCTATTCCTTGCAATGACTGTTACAAAGAATACATCGGACAGACGTTCAGATCACCCCTGATGAAGGCACTAGACAGGAGTGTCGAAACGTTGGGTCTATGAATCGTAACTTCTTCGGTTACATTCATTAAATCTGCAAACCAGAGTAGCGTCAAACTATGTCTCACATCACAAAATATTTGTGGATGAATGAAACCTACCAACTGGCTTCAATTAAAAGATCAGTGGAAGAATTTGAGGAAACATTCCCTTTCCAAAACTTGGAAAGAGGAGTAAAATCGACTTCCTAATTGGCTCCGATTACAACAACCTGCTGTTTCCAGTAAAGGAAGTTCGTGGAGGTGACGGAGAACCCATTGCCAGACTTTGTCCGTTAGGATGGACAGCTATAGGTACCAATGACGTATGTGAGCGACACGACTCATGCAATACAGGATTCCTCACACATTTCGTGTGCAGACGTCAGATAGCAATGAAGGAGAACGTAACAACCGGATGAAACAATTCTGGAGCCTGGAGGCTACTTGCATCTCGTCTCAAGTGGAGTTCCCAGTTGGTCGTCCGGAGAAATCTACAAATAAAGCTCGAATCGTGTTCGACGGTTCCACACAGCAAGACGGAAAGAGTTTGAGGAGCAAATCGTCACCAGGTCCCAAATTACAAAGTGACATTATTGTCAAGTCTTCACGTGAGCGCTTACGAGCAGCACACGAGATTGGGAGCTCCGCATGTTTTTGCCGATTTCTCATTAATTCTCGATCGGACTCTCCTCCATCTTCAAACCACAGCCCTATTTACGTCCTGCTATGGCTTTTTGCTATTCTAGACAAATTTTACAGTCTATTTCGTTGCCTACCGCTATCTCAAGACTGGACCCCGGTGTATGGCGGCGATTAATTCATTTTGGCATCTCGAGGGTGAAACCTACTCGGCGCGGAACTCGTGGTGGTCGAAGGAGATCATGCACTCCTCCTTCCTCTACCACTTTTCTGCATCGTACTAATTATTTCTGCGCCACTCCTTTTCTGGAATCAACATTTTGTTCACCAACGGTTGGAAATTTACCGGAAAGACGTGTTTTGCATATTACTCCTCCGTCTCAATTAAATATTCAACTTAACACCTTTCCCATCGGTTCGATAAACAATCAACCTGTCACGGCAATCGGATCGCAAAATCACCACCGCACCTCAAGTACGGCACCCCGAGGCCGTAATCCGTCCAATATCTCCGTGATAAACTGTCGACCACGACGAGAGGAACCCGAGTTTGGCATGAACATCTTACTAGCCAACGCACAGTTGTTAGCGCCTAAAATCGACGAAGTGCGATCTGTGATGTTGAACGCTAAGCCTGATTTAGGTTTCTTTACAGAAACTTGGTTACGTGAGACCATCAGTGACAGCCAAGTTAATATTCCTGGTTACTCGTTTATCGCAAGAAATCGTTGTGTGGATATCCATGGTGTTGTAGGACTTTACATCCATGATTCCATCAAATTTAAACCGCTCGATGAATTTTCGGACCCTGATTTTGAGTCACTTTGGGTGTGGCTTATGCCAAGGAGGCTGCCTAGAGGATTCCCCTGCCTGGTTGCTGGTACCGTCTACCACCCACAGTTAGGCGTTAACAATAGTGGTATGCTTAACCACCTTACTACTACACTGACTGACATTGTGGGCCAGTATCCCGGTTGTGGTATATTCGTGTGCGGCGATTTTAATCGGTTGAGCCTTAGCCGCCTCACATCGTAGTTCAAGTTGAAGCAAATTATTGATAAGCCAACGAGAGGCGATAAGATACTGGACCTCGTTTTGACCAACTTGTCACATACGTATGACGAGAACGCTGTTTACACCCTGCCACCGTTTGGTCTTTCAGATCATAACGTGGTCATCGTCTGCACTAAAAAGTTGCCATCCCGCGCTGGGCCTAGCAGAAAGTTAATTTCGAGACGTGACACACGTGCTAGTAGGAGAGCCGAACTAGGACGGTTCTTTTCAGCCGTTGATTGGTCCATTTTGGATTCTGCCCCCAATATTGATGATCGCTCTAGACAACTGTGTGACATCATCACCGCAGGTCTGGACGCTATCATGCCCGCAGGGAAATCTAAGGTTCATCTTAATGACCTTCCGTGGATTACTCCTGAATTTAAGACTCATTTATCCCGGCTATGTGCGCGCGTGCTAACCTAGATTTTTAGCTATTCCACTGCTGTATTTTAGCCATATTAGTTATATTAGTAATTTTATTTAGGTCTCAGCATTTTTGTAATAGGTAGTCTTATATAGTCTTATATAATCAATGATTGTGAAAAGCACGCAATTCAGCCTATGGCTGCAATGTATTTTATTTGATAATAAACTATCTATCTATCCTCCACATTTTAATGAAGTTCAGGAAGGAATAGTTTGCCTTGGTTGGTGATGCTACTCAAATGTACCATCAACTAATTCTCAGACTAACTGTCAAAGATCTCTGTACAAGAACTTGGACGGGGACGACAAGCCCAGGTTGTGCAAATTCTGAGGGTTTATCTTGGGAGGATGTTCTTGTCCTTTTGCTTCCGATTTCCGTGGCAAAAATTCCAGAACTTAATCTATAGACGTACCCATTGGCAGGTAAAGTAGTTTTGGATCACTGCTACATAGATGATCTGATGCCTTTGGCACTCACGGTAGATGAGACTAAAGAAATAAGGAGGCAGCTAACTGAATAAGGCAACAAGGTCGGACGCAACATCGGAAGAGGGTATCGAACGATTGCTGACCTAAAGGAGGGAGACAGCTTCCGAGATAGAGGGAGTTGCCGACAATGAAGACCTTCAGTGGTCTGTGGAGCGATATCGATGACAACTCTTTTTCGGCACTTCTGTTTTAAAAAAGACAGCCACGGTCTATGACCCACTAGGTTTCTTGTCGCCTTACATAATCAGATCAAAGTTAATGATGCAGAAGGCATGGCTAGAAGCAGGAGCATGAGACGATTCTTTGCCAATACACCACGAGCATGATTGGATTAAAGGTTTCGGGAGTTAAACGACCTTGAACTTGTGAAAATCCCAAGGTGATTGAAAGAGCCCGTGGCCAAGTAGTGAAGTTGAGCATCCATGCATGGATGTATCACCATGGTAGGTGAAGCGAATGCCAATAATGGCAATGCAAAAGAGGAAGAAGGTTGACGGTTAAATCGAACAAGATATTCAAAGTGGTATGGGGTTCATCTAAAAGATAACTGGAGCTTGGTTTGTTTGTAGCAAGAGTGAAAGCCTGAGTGCACCGATTTAAAGCGAACATTGAGAGGTATGCCCTAAAAAGAAAGAAGCAGATGCAGAGAAGTAGATTAGCTTCATTAAGTTCAGTATTGGTTAAGATGATTCCTGAGAAAAAAAAAATCGGTATATTTTTTTAAAAAAATTTCCCTAATGTTCCTTACCATTGGCCTTTTGGAAGAAATACAGTAAAAAAGATAGACCACTGTTATTGTTTAAGTGAGATGATGGGCCAAAATACCCGCATTTCGGCCTGTATTGGCACTAATCACGCGCGTCATTTTATGTCCTTCATCGGTTCATGGTACATTTTTCATTATCTAAAAGCAAGGGCTTCAAAGTAAAACTTAAAAAAAACTTGATAGGTAGAACTTCTCGAGTGTATGTTGATATATTATTTGTGAAAAATCACGCAGTTTTATATGATATCGACTAAAAACGTCCCTCGTATATTATACGCAGTGCAATAATGAGGAATCACCTTAATGGCATTTTGAGATCGAACACAAAATAACAACTTGCAGATAATTTTTCCTACGACGTTAAGTGTCTAGTCATATCACCTAATAGGAATGAAATAACACGATTGAGTTTCAAGTATTGCCACGAATGAGAAGATCATAAGATGGGCCTTAAACAATCAATCACCTACGCGCGAAATACTTGGTGGTCCACGCACGTGAACAAGTTCAGAGGGTCACGAGAGAGTGTTTGGAATGTGCGAAACGATTTCGATCGAAGGCAACTTGTCAGCAAATGGCACTGTTACTTAGAATCAGACTACAGCTTTCATCTAGACCCCTCCTTGGCTTTTCAGTTGATTTTGGAGAGCCCCTCTTGACTGAGCAAGAACGGGGCAAATATCGAGAAGAGAGTTACTGTGTGTTTATTCCTTTGTTTACCGGCACATTTTAACCCTAAGAAACGGTGGATAAGGGAGTATTTACAGTAAATTGGATTGAGACCGAAGTGTATCTCCCCACAGACAATATTCATCTGGTAGATGTTATTGTAGTCATCGGCCTTAACGCTACGAGACGAAAATGGAAAGTAGGACGTATCGTGTAAAAGTATCTGGTCCCTGATGGGCTTGTGTGCGTGGTCAATGTACGAGTCAAGGACAAGGTTGTAAAGCGACCAATTACCATAATCTCTCCGCTTGAGATTCAAGACACTGAAGAAGATATAATAGAGGAACAGTCTGATTGATCAATTTCTAGTTCAAGTTTTTTTTTTAGGAGGGTTGCAAGTGAAGTACGAATTACCCCTCCCCCTTCCTTCCAATCCTATTTAACTCGGTAAGGAAAGAATGTTGTGAAAAGGCGTTTTTTTGGAATCGCGTAACGTCACGTTTGTTTGTTTTAGTTTTAGAATCACGTGCGTACATACTTGAACCGTGGACTCGCAATTGTATGTGAAGTGTTGTTGAAGATCGTCATTCTGAGACGAAAGATTTGTTTCCTGTGATCTTTCCCTTATTAATTAAGGTCCTTTAAGATTGTGCAATGAATGGGAAATGGGGCTGCCAGCGCAATGATTTACGTCTTGTATTTAATTGTTTAGAGTTATATTTTATACATATTTCATGCTGTTTTCATTTTACATATTTGCTCAAACCTACGTCTGCTCTAAGTGTATTTTTTATACCAATATGTATTTATCATTTTTAACATGCCATGTGCACTTATTTTACTAACATATTTTTAATATTAGTAAACTGTCAGCGTAAAATAAATCGTTCTAAATCCTTCGCATTTTAACATCTCTCAACTCGAATATTTTTAACCAAAAAATTAACTAAAATTTACTCTAAAATGCTTAATCGGACCCATTCTACATTCATCACTGGGTGTTTTGAAGATATACTGAAATAGTAAAACCAGTTACTCTCCATTTTACCGTCAGAGTACTCCAGCTTTTAAGTATTCTCAAGAGAATTTGGTTTTATTACCTGAGTTCACGGTGGCCACTTAACATTGTCAACTTAGTTGATAAAACCAAATTGTTTTGTAATACCTTCCTACCGACGCAACACCACACACAGACTTTTCATTCTTGGTTTTGCATCGTCCCAGAACTGCTATCATACAACTACTACTGATACAAGTGTGGAAATCTCATATCATAATTTTTTTAATTATGATATATTAACTTGTCAATCTTCAGTAACGGAACGAATTTAATCATTCGACAAGATCAGCATCAATGCTGTATTGTCCCAGAACTACTTATTTTACAACTACTCACTGAGACAAGCACGGAAATATATATCATAACTTTTTGAAAAATTATGATATAGTAACTTGTCAATCTTAAGTATCTGAACGAATTTAATAATTGGACAGGATCAATGTTGTATCTTCTCGCAAAGAAGTCATGGTGTGCCTTGATTTGTTCTTGTGTCTTATAATGAGAAGTTATCTTATTAATAGGTCACACTCTCAAGCTCACGGTTGATAATGTTGAACTGAGTATCTGATCGGATGAAGATACATTTCACATTCCCTGAGCTGAACTCCTTTTTTCATATTCACCAATCTCAATCCCCTTCCATGAAGATCATTGTCTCTCTTACTCCTGAGATCGATGAAAAGAGCGAACCTGTCTAGCTGAAATGTGGGTTATGTGTGGGTTTATGCGCGGAATATGGAGTTACGCTCTTAGTGGGAATATGGTGACAAAAAAACAAGAATAAGTAAGTTGACCGAAAAGCGCTTGTTGATACCGTGGGGATTAAGAGTGCCGATTTGGAAGATAAATTTCTGCTCCTTCATAGCCGAACTAGTAATTACACTCAATTGCTTTTCATTCGGTGGCAACTACTACAAACAAACTAATGGCGTATACATGGGTACTAAAATGGGACCCAGCTACGCCAAGCCTTTCGTAGGTTTTATCGAACGCCAGTTTTTTTACTCAATACTAAGGCCCTAAACCTGAACTCTACAGCCGCTGCATTAACGACTGCATCGGCGCTACCTCCTCCACCAGAGAGGAGCTCACTCAATTTATAACCGCCGTCAATTCCTTTCACCCGGCTTTTAAATATAACTTGGAAATTTCCGACACTTCTTTGGCTTTTCTAGACATCACAATTTCAATTGAAGGCAACGGTACATGTACTAGTGTTTACTACAAACCTGCAGATTCACATAGTTACTTGATGTTTTCATCTTTTGCATTCATCACACGTCAAGAATTCTATACCTTTTTCAGTTTCTCAGACCTCGTCGTTGGTGTAGTGACGACTCTGATTTTTCCGAAAAATCAGAAGCAATGTGCCAATATTTCGATAAACGTGGCTAACCTGTTTCTGTCGTTCAAGCGGGCCACCACTGTGCCCAAAAAATTGATCGACAGTCAGCACTACAAACGGCTGAGAAGGAAAACACTGATCGCATTCCATTCACTCTCACATTTTACCCTCAAATCCACGTTGTTAAATCTATCATTCAAAAAAACTTAAATGACTCCAAAACG